ATATTTGTTTTTTTCTTTCTGACTCACTTCACTCTATAATAGGCTCCAGTTTCATCCACCTCTTTAGAACTGATTCAAATGCATTCTTTTTAATAGCTGAGTAAAAGATCCTGATGCTGGGAGAGATTGAGGGCAGGAGGAGAAGGGGACGACAGAGGATGAGATGGTTGGATGGCATCACCGACTCAATGGACATGAGTTTGGGTATACTCCGGGAGTTGGTGATGGACAGGGAGGCCTGGCGTGCTACAGGATCACAAAGAGTTGGACACCACTGAGCGACTGAACTGAACTGAAGTGAATGTCTAACTTGTGCTGCCCTGCAAGGGTACAATTCCATTTAACATCGATAATGTAGATAATGGGTTTTAAGAAACACATACATCATATATTTTTTAAAAAATCTCCTGCTCTCTCAACTTGGAGAGGATTATTATTTAGAAACAAAAGAGCCCAACTGATTTCCCAGCTTTTCACAATATCAAATCCATCTATTTTAAAAAAATAGTTTATATATTTACTTATTTATCTATTAACTTTTGTTTTGGCTGTGCTGGGTCTTCATTTCTTTGTGAGGGCTTTCTCTAGTGGTGGTGAGTGGGGGCTACTCTTTGCTGTGATGAGCAGGCCTCTTATTGCCACGGCTGCCCTCACTGAGGAGTACAGGCTCTAGGCCTGTTGGCTTCACTAACTGCAGCACTCGAGCTCCGTAGTGCATTACAGGCTCAAGGGTGAGCAGGCTTCTGTGACTGTAGCACACAGGCCCAGGAGCTGTGGCCTGAGGGCCCTAGAGCAAGTGAGCTTAAGTGGTTGTGGCTCCTGACTCTGAAGCACATGCTTATAGTTCCAGCACACAAGCTTAGTTGCTCTGTAGCATGTGGAATCTTCCCAGACCAAGGATTGAACCCATGCCCCATGCACTGACAGGTAGAGTCCTATCCACTGCACCTGCAGGGAAGTTCTCAAATCCATCACTTTTATTTTGTAAAGACATACTATTACAACAGTGTTGCTGCCTTGTAGAAGTCAAAGAACTGTATGAGCCCAGTGCCATGTAATACTAGATTCCTTTGCCAAATGGGTCTATGAACTCTGATACAGCAGCCCTATACACAAAGTCTTCTATCAAGGCATGACTTCACCAGAATCTAAGTCTTATTTCCAAAAATATTCAATCAGTTAGAAAAATAAAATAATTTGTTTTCAACACATTCTCCGTTTACTTTCTGGAGGCTCTTAAACTGTTAGCTCCCAATTTCCTTCTAAGTTGTTATATGATCGCTAGGCCCAATTTTAGTTCCAACTCCCCAAAAGAGTCCTGAAAAGATGCTGTTAATTGTTTCAAATTCGAATTACCTCAAAAACTCAAGTGTGCCAACCTTCCAATATTAAACAAGACCATACGCATAAATATGCACTTTCACTCAAGCAGGTATAGAGATTTTTTGTGTTTATCTGGATCTCTAGACATTAACTTAAAACTCACCTACACAAATGCTTCCAGTTCAACAAAACAATATATCAAGAAACAAATCCTCTGGTGGTTCAGTGGCTAAGATTTCACCCACCCAGTGTAGGGGTCTTGGGTTCCATCATTAGTCAGGGAACTAGATCCCTAAGAGTCTGTGTGCTGGAAGAACAAAGACTGAAGATCCCACATGATACAACTAAGACTTGGCACAGCTAAATAAATAAATAAACATTTTAAAAGAAGAAGAAACATCTAAAAAATAAACCCACTAAATTTAACCATCATTTCATTCTTTAATTCACCTGTCCATCCATCTGACAAAAATTTACTTGAGTCTAAATTGCAGCCATGAAATTAGAAGATGCTTGTTTCTTGGAAGGAAAGCTATGACAAACCTAGACATCATATTAAAGCAACGACATCACTTTGCTGACAAAGGTCTATATAGTAAAAA